ACTCGACATTACCCAACCGACTTACCGACTAACATTTGCCACTCTTCATTGCCCTGCACTTTCCGCAAAAGCCAAACCATAATAGCAGTTGGCCGAATCGTTGATCCCCATTTACCTTCGATGGCCCGAAAGCTGCTCCCCAGCGATTATTACCCAATCCTAATCATATACATATTGAAGGAGCCACAAAAACCGCTCAGTCTAATGAACTCTTGAACCGGACTGTCTTACTAAGTCTACGGGACTGGGATCTCTGTGGATCTGGGGGATATGAAAATCTCATTCGCACGCCAAATTGATTTCAATCAGCGAACAATAAAGCAATTTCCTTAGAATTTCACACTTCACTGACTGAGAGACTGAATGACTGACTGACTTGACCCAGTGCTCTACAATCGGTGGGCAATCTGGTAAACAATATATATAGTGTATGGCTGGGCATATATCCCCTAAATCAGCCGTGAAGTGTGTACAATTCTTTGGCACTTTTGCAGCTGACTATGAATTGGAGAAAATAAAGGGGGAGCAGCTGCGGCTGCGCCTGCGCACACTTCTAATAATGGACGTTGGACGACGCCCACCGGTGGCCTGGGCGATGATTTATGAGGCGGCTCCTCCATTTGCGGCTAAAGCTAAAGCTGAAGCTCACCCAAAGAGAAGTGAAACTCCGCTTCAAGGGTGTGAAAAGTGGCAAATGAGTTGCTTGTTGTTTGCCACAGCACAGAATCTTGGATAATGCAAAACAAAATGCCCGCAAATTGCAGACACGACCGGATCTGGAAGATCTGGCTGGGAAGCAACACTCCGTTTCCCCACCAGCACTCAAGATTAATCGCCAGGGCTTTGAAGTGACGCCAAGTTTGGTGTCAAAAACTGCGGCAAACAAAAAGGAAAGACCCAGGCAAACGAGCAGAGTGTTAATGAAGCACAAGCGGACACTGAGGAAAAATGCTAGTTAGTTTTAAAGGGATTTGTAATTTTAAATTAACTTAGATCAGAAAAGATTCGAAAAATTAGAAAACAAGGATTCGCATATAAAAAATTTTAAATTTAGAGATTTTGATAATTAATGCCACTTGCAACTTGAGTTTTGTTTACGAATTCACGGTTCATTTTTTTGTATTGTCAGAGTCTATTGTATTTCTGTGCCTATGTAAAAAGCTGAGTCAATTAGCGATGTTGTAAATCTCAAAGTGTACCTGGAGTCTCGGTCGCAGACCCAGTTGTGTTCCCATGTGGGCCCACCCACGCACCTCTCTTCAGCGGCACTTTGCATTAAGCCCAGTCGAGTGTTGAAGTCGACTCTTATTTTATTTGCAGCTGTGGTTATAGTCGGGATACAGCCGAATAACGGCAGATCCCCCCATTATGTCGAGCCACCCACTCAAGCCAGGTGGAATGGAAAGGATGAAACTCGAGATCATAAAGGAACCGTAGAGATCGCTTTGGAGAACTGACAACTTGAACTTGCCCCTGGCTGGAATGGGGATTGATTACAAGCGGATCACAGCGGATCAGGGTAAATGAGGTACAGATCATTAGATGGAGGTGAAAACTGGTCTTCGATCTTTGTTTGCCATAATGACGAATTGCTATTCGAGGAGTACGGGAAGAAACGCTCAAAGATTAGAGGATCATTTGCATAAAACGATCAGATTGTCTCAGAGGCTCTGAGGATTTGCCTTAATGATGATAGTCAATAGTTGAGAAGAAAGGCAGCAATTGAATGGAAGAAGATTTCGTTGTGCGGACGGAAAAGAAATCTCAATTTCAAGTGTCTTGATTAAGCATTTTCTCGAATATCCTGACTTTCTCATTTATTTGTTTATAGAGCTCAATTAAAGATATAAATTAAATTAGGTGGGTAACAGTATGTGAAACGACGATTTTTATTTGTGGCAATAAAAGTAAAGTAAAATCGTTAAAAAGTGGCTCAGGTATTAGGGATGTTAAAGACATCTCCTGTAGATTTATTTACTATTTTAGATACTCACGTTTTATTTTTTTAATGATTTAGTTAAGTGCAGTCTCTTGCTTGATTTTCAAAGAAAACTTCTCACAATATCGAACAAGTTTAATCATTTAATTACAATAGGAGCTTTAAATGTTAAGATATGATACAAGTAAAGTAATTGTATTTACAACCAAGATAACCCCCCGTAAGACGACTTTTTAATTTGATGGCTTGTCTTTTCCATTTGCCTTTTCTACTCCAACCAAACTCCCCATCTCAAATATCCTTAGACCCTGGTAAGCCACTGACCCCCGCCGAAGTTTAACGACTATTAACCCCCGGCAACCCTTAACACTTGGCACCTCTCGTCCACCTACATCCCCACCACTCTTCCGCCTTTCGAGACCACCGGCTTTGATTTCCCAGAAGCCCCACAACCACCGTTTTGCACATATTTCTACTTAGTGCAACAACTTTAAACGGCAACTTGCCAAAGTAAAGCAAAACTCAGATAAGAAAAACTGGGGGAGCAAAAAAAAGAGAAAAACTTTTACCACAAATCGGATTTCCTGCATCGATTTGCGGTCTTCGCACGCGCCTTGAACTCAAAACTGATGGAACTCAAAGTGGATCACAGAGCAACGTCGTCTGCCTTTTAAAAAGATCTCATCTCTTCGAATCGAAACGAGAGCGGTGGCCAGAATCCCCTGCTCGATATCAGAATCAAAGACAACGCACTCGAATGCCAGAAATATTTCCCAAGGAAATAGAAGAGATTCTTGCGCCGGCTCCGCTTTTCCAAGAAGCCATCCAAAGCCAGAAGAAGGAAACGTGTGCGAGGCTGACAAGTTTTTCCCTTATTTGATGTTTGTTGGCTGCACCACAAAACAAACTCGAAGCAGATGGATGACATCGGCCAAGCCATGTTTGCCAGTCGAGAGTGCTCTTAAAGTGGGCACAACAGTGTGTGTATGGAGAAAGATTGGTAAAACAATCATGAATTAGCCAGAATGGGCGGAAAATTCGATCAGGGGAGAGTCAAGATGGGAGTTTTAATATAGAACTAGGGAAGGCTAGGTCATTTGACATAAGTTGTAAAGGCATGCATACAAAAAAGTTTAAGAATACGAAGTGTTGTCTAAAATGTATAACCAAAAGTGTTTGGCATAGTTATGACATCAAAGTCTGCAAGAAATAAACATTATCTTAAATATTTTCAAATGCATTTAACAAAATAGTTTCCCTTTCAATAATTCATAAAATTTTATTGTTTATAAACCTGAATAAAAGTAAAATTGAGTTTTTAGAAATGGTCTTTATCTTTTTATAACAGTTTAAACCTTTTCAAATGCAATTAATAATAGGGTTTCTCCTTCAGCAATTCAAAATCTTCAATTAAACTTTGAGTAGGTGCAAACCACTTAAATAATAGTAAAATTCAGTTTTTATTAGTGTTCTTCAACTATTTACAATAGTTAAAACATGCCTTTGAAAAGGATCATCTTAACGAACCAGCCAACACGTTCTGCACTCCTATTAGTGCGAACTATTAAAGTCACAAGCTGCCTGTAACTTATTCGATTTATGAGCCCATCTTGAATAGAGAACCCTGTTCCATTGGGTGTGGAGAACAAGTTTTCGCCCCAAGTGATTGCCTGATTGAGGCTGTTTGTCCTCCCCTGCATCTTCCACCTGCTGACAACGTGCCAAAATAGCCCTCGAGTCTTCTTCTATTGAAGGGCCCAGCTCCAAACTAATTGCCTCGGCACGCCTTCAACTTCTTTACAACACAGAGAAAGGGAAGTGGAGATCTCATCAAGCCCCAATGCATATTCATAGTCATAACGAGATTTGAGGTCTGCCATGTTCACACACGCTTCCACTTTTTCACCCGTTTTAAGACACTCCTCATAACTGCACAATTACCTGGTTATTTTAATTAGTCAAAGAATAAAGAAATAAAAACCAAAAAAAAATGAGTTGAGCAAGTGCAGGGGAAAAAATTGAGGTGACAACACATAGGAAATGTCTAAATATACAAACAAAAGCTGGACAAAGCATAAATCACCTGCGAGGGGAAGCAGGGGAACTGTATCTGCAAACAAGTTAATGAATGTATCTGAGAGATACATCTGCATAGAGCAGTCGCAAACCGGGAGAAAGAGTCGACAAATAGAGTTGGCCGAAAAGCAAAAAGCGGCTATAAAAAGCGTTAACAAGACAACAACAACAGCAATTGGCAAACAATAAAATACACTTAGTAGCGCAGAGACACTAAATTGCTGTTAACAATTCTTTGCAGAGCCCAGCCAGCCAAGCAAATAAATTTGTCTGTCTGCCAGAAGTGGGTCAACGACAAGAAAAGCCTTCCCCTTTTTTTTATTTCATAGAAGTTTTTCAATGCCAACGGCAAACATTTCACTCAGCAACTTCAGCAAGCTCTTTCTCTCGCGTGTTGGGCAGATTTTAACTACCGTTTAAAACGTATCTCATAGATACTCTCAACTCTTTCACTCCCCCCTCAGCATTCATTAATCACCTTCAGTCAGTCCAAAGAGTCAATTTTGAACAGCCTGCCAAATGTGTTCCACGCAACGGCTGAGTCTCTGTATCTTTCGGGTGCCTGGAACGAAGCGCACATTTGGCTTTTATCACTCGATCCGTACCAAATAAACTACAAGCCCCTAGGCAAAAACAAAATCAAAGGAAAACACATTTGTGTACCAGATTTTGGCGCATTTGCGGATTGCGTGAAGAATTTCCAATCAGACGAGACGAAAGCAAATTCTATGGCAGATCTTAATGGGTTTTCTCAAGAAGCAACTTGCCGGGACATGCGAAAATATGCATTACAGCTGGGACTTCTTTAAAGAAAAAAATTCACGATGTTTTATACACTCATTAGAACTTTTTTTCAGTGAGTTTTATTGATCTGAGGTTTGTTGGATGCGAAGCGCCTAGAAAGGCATATTTTGAATGTTTTTCCTTACCCAAATATGCCACGTTAAAATGGCTATTTTCTACCATAAAAATAAAATATATTAAATATTTTGTATCATTTAGTTTGTAGTTTATTTATGCCATGTCATTACTCGTTTTTTTTCCAGATCTAACCGTGGTAGATGTGGTGTCCGTAGGTGGGAACAGCGTAGGACTTCAGAACTGGGACATGCTGAACCACTGGGACATGCTTCACGACAGGAACATGGTGCACCACCGGAACCTGCTTCACCACCGGAATATGCTTCACCACGGGAACCACATGAGCCACAGGAACCACTCCATAAGAGGGTTCAATGTAGCCAGGAGCAGCAAAAGCCACCGCGAATAGGGCAAAAATCACAGCGATCTAAATAGAATATGAAAACTTAATGCCCATCAAAGGATGACTTTCCTTTAACTTACAATGCGAAACATCTTGGTATATTGTTTTGGATGAGAATCTTAAACTTTAAGATATTGTCACTTGGGTGCTAGTCGGACGACTGTTGATGATTGAGCAACGCATCAGTTACTTTATATAGCCAAAAACCATACCAATTATGACTTCTGAACAAACAAACATGTTTAGCCATGATTTCATATAATTCTTTGGTTTAATTGAGAGAATGGATTTATCAGTTGACCCAGAGGCGTCTTCATAAAGGTCTTTTGTGACCTTGCTTCTCGGCGATCATCACAAGCGCGTGTAGTCGATCGATATTATGGCAATGATCTTGGGAAGTAAACAATAATAGGCAAACGGATCTAAAGACTGCACACAATTGGAGAGTTATTGAATGGGGATTATGTCCAATGGTTGAACAATAACGACCGATAACGGGAAGTTCGCCGCCGGAGATGAAACAAAATAGAATGCGCATTATCCGAAGATATTTTCAAATTGGATATAATTAAACTGGTTTGGCGCGTGGCGCTCGAACAGAAGTCATTTTGGGGGCTATTTTTTGGCTAAGGTGTTAACTACTATATATAATGATGCCACGGATGGTCATTCAACAACAGTCGTCCGACCAAAACACAAGTGTGATAAACTCAAAGTATAAGTTTCAAATTCAAAACAAAAATATTTCAAAATGTTTCGCATTGTAAGTATGTGAAGATTAGAGAATGTCTTTGATGTGCATTAACTTATCATATTATATTGAGATCGCTGTGATTTTTGCCCTTTTCGCGGTGGCTGTTGCTGCTCCTGGCTTCATTGAGCCCTCTTATGGAGTGGTTCCTGTGGCTCATGTGGTTCCCGTGGTGAAGCATATTCCGGTGGTTAAGCAGGTTTCAGTGGTGAAGCATGTCCCAGTGGTTCAGCATGTTCCTGTCGTGAAGCATGTCCCAGTGGTTCAGCATGTCTCCGTTCTGAAGTCCTACGCTGTTCCTACCTACGGACACCACATCTACCACGGTTAGATCTACGAAAAATCATTACAAATATAGACTCGGCCAAAATAAACTAAATTAACAAAAAAAATTGTATGTGTTTTTTTACTTTGTGAAGCGTGAACGAAGAAGTCGAGGTTTTTTAAAAACATATTACCAAAATTGTGTAAAATGTGACATTTTATGTGATTCTTAGTGAGTTCACATAATGCTAGTAAACACATTTTAAAAATGTTTGAAAAAAGTGTCTGAAACATAAAATATTTAACTCTAAAAGCTTTCAATTCATAAGGTCTTCATAAAAGCTATTTCCCTATGTAAAGAAAACGTGTCTTTTACAATATGGAAAATCTGTGGGCTAAACTCCCTTTTAAAGTCAGGCACTTTCCATTTTTAACATTTTACACCATCTTAAACTGTTTTATGGCTTCGCTGATCATTTTATGGGACATTTTGTTAAATTTAATTTTCACCTTGCTCACCTTTGCTATTTGCGAATAGTCACACATAAAGTTGTTAACAAGGTGGCAAACTTGCAGAGAAAATTTCTTCATTAATCAGCGGAATAAAGTAACGCCTCTAAACTGCAGCTGGCTGCATCTTCCTCTCCGTCCGTCGTCGTTTTTGTGAAACCCAATCCCAAGCTCGTCTTTAATTTGAGCCAATTAAAGTGGCGACAAAGCCTACTAGTCCCGCTGGAAAAAAAGAGACTGAGACCAACCGCCTTGCCTTTCCCTTTTCCCCCGGTATTGCGGTTCGATCTTCGTGTTAATGATGAACCTGAATGGATCGTACATGAATTTTTCATTGTTTTTTATTCGGGCTTTATTCGGGTTATTAAATCGCTGGCTAGAAAAACTCTCAAACGGTTCGGAAAACCAAAGAAATAAACAGAGAAAATATAAAAATAAATTGTGTTCGAAAGTCAATTTTGTGATCATGCTTTTGGTGTTTTTTTTTTTGGATTGTCTGCTTTTGTTTTTTTCCTGTTGCCAAAAGATTTATTGTTAGCTTTTTCTTCTTAATTTTCCCCACATTTCATTTCGTTTTTGGTTTCAGTTCAGCCTGCTACCATTTCAGTGCCACTTCCTTTACGGCTTAAAATAAATTTCTCGCCCAGAGTTTCGCAATTTTATTGCTCTATTAGAGGGGTAAAATAGTAATTTGCTGCTCAATTATGACGAAATCATTTGATCCGCTTCACATGTGACGTAGTTTTTGTTTTTAATAGTTTTTTTATACTTTTTTTTGTGGGCCTGTCTTTCCTTTTGTGCGGTTTGTTGTCTGTGGTAATGACTTCATCGTCATCAGGCGGCTACCCAAGATCCCCAGTTCATTTGATAAATTATCCACCAGTTTGTAATAATATTTTTCATTGGCTCGCTCGGGAGGAGTTGGCTTCGATTTGGTGTGCCTGTTTTTGTTTTCATTTTGTTAATTATCCGCTTTAATTGTTAATTTAAATCACGAAAAAATAAAAGTGAAACTCAATTGAACTTGAGAGACCCTCCGCCATCTCTTTCTCGTGTGTTATTCTCTTATGAAATTGGGCGTGTTTCGGATCTGAGAAGTAGAGAAAGGTTTTCTGATCCGATTGTTAACGATAAGAGGAGATTGGATTGCTTTGGCATTTTTTGTTTGATTGAAGTGGAGTGGGAGACCTGTTTAAATGGTTGTTAGTCAAACATCTTCGAGTTTTACAACGGGGGTATACTTTGGTAAAACTTTAGCTTTTATGATTTTTTTCCCCTAATGGCACCATAAAATTAACCATGTTTATTTATAATATTGAAGGTTTCAAATTAATAATATATTTATAATTTACTCAACTTTATTCAAATGACAATTTATGAAATAACCAATGTTTTTAAACTAGATAAAAAGGTGTGTGTATGCAACAATAAATTCCATATCTAGCAGTTCGTTGAACTGATTTCCAAAGACGACTTAAATTTTTTTTGTGAATACTTTTGGGCACCTTTTGAAGTGATTTCAAAACGCTAGTGATTTCTGTGGCACTCCCCTAATCTTTTTTTTCAAGTATAACTTATGTTTTTATAATTTTATTATATTAAACACACTCCCCTAATCTTTTTTTTCAAGTATAACTTATGTTTTTATAATTTTATTATATTAAACACAATAAAACCCCTTTTTGTTTATCAAGTTTTTATCCCTAATGTGATTTTTTAATAAAAAGAATTTATGAATTTATACATAATAAATATATTCGAGATGCCATTCAATCCCCTAATGACTTTTTATCGACACCCCAACTGCTAAATAAATTCACAATTACATTTCAGTTAGGCCCACGTGCGACTAAACGATGGCAAATAAAATGGAAAGTTTATTTAAAGGTTCATTTAACGCGAAAGTTGAACTATAACCGAAGCGAACTAACTGGGCTGAATTTCAAGTAACTCGGACTTGGGCTAACTACTCTCCGGCTGGGCTAATTCGGTGGTAAATGTTTTATTGCCGCCCAGCAACTGCAGCTGGCCATATGGTCCGCTGAATCCAAGTAAGTCGGACTTCGAGTCCAGACTGGGGCTAACTTATTGGGCAAAAGGTTACAGTGAGCACAGCAATTGTTATGCAAATCTGGCGGAGGTAGATTGCAGCGAACACAATGGACACCCATTCGATAGAATCGGACAAGCGGCCAACCAAACCAAACCATAGCAAAGCAAAGCAAATCGAAATTCGAAATCCTATCGAGGCATGAAACATGAAATTATGACTGCCATAAAGTGGAGCACTTCCTCGACTCCCGCACACGAAACCGAAATTGTCAATGCGATTATATGGTCGCAGCTCTTAGCTAATCGCGTGGCCATAGTCTAAATTGCGCCACCTTCACTTTTCCTGCGGCTTTTCCAGGGAAGCCAGAGAAAAACAAACTCAATTTCTCGCTTTTGTCATGCTGCTGCTTGTCTTGACCATTTTTGGTGGCCCCAGTTCGTTGGAAAACAAAGACATCCTGTCGTTGCCGGCGACAGGGAACATGATTGTTTACGCTTCACTTGACCAGAACAGCGAATGCTTAACCCATTGTGGCCGTCAGGTGGTGAGGGGTTAAGAGAAAACCCCTAAAAGCAAACACTTGTGAAAGATCTTATCGGGAGAGACAAACATCGAAAAGCTTGATCTTTACATTACTTCGCATTGCCTACATTTAAATTTAAATACCAATGTCCTAGTATAAGGAAGTATAAGTTTTCCTTTAAGCTGGACTCTTAAAGTTTAAAATTGTATACTAAACAAACTTTGCATTTTTTTAATGCCACTGTTATTAACAATTATTTCCATAAAGTGGTTCTTTGAAGTTCAAATATTTCATATAAAAACGGATTAAAAAATAAGTAAAAAAATTTGGTAAAAAAAAAACTCGATTAAAAAGGTTTCATAGAGTTTGGTTCTCAATTAGAAAGCAATACATAAAATTTTCAAATTTGTCTCCTAAAATATATCAGATTTCTTTGAGATAGCCTAAAACTAAATTTCCACATCTTTTTTAAACATTTTCCTACAACATATTCCCACGTATTACAAATAAATTTCCAGTTTCGGCCAAATCCATAGAGCTATTCTCACTGGGCTTCGCTGTGTTTTAGGCTGGCTTTCAATTAAAAAGGAGATTGCAGTCAGCTCCTTGGGGAAACTGCAGCAGAGATCTCAGCTCGTTAAGGCCATCGACATTGTCCGGCAGCTGACAAATTTTGGTTTTTGCTTCACGGCGATCATCTCTCAATCTCAATCTCGATTCCAAACCCAATCTCGATCTCCATCTTCCCCGGCTGCCTTTCCTTTTGCACTTTGGGTATCTGTAGTTGTAGCTGTAGCTGTGGGGCTTGATTGCGTTTGTTGGGCTTGATTGGTTTGTGGAATCGGAATTGGGTATTGGAACTCTAGTTAACAGTTCAGTTTTGGGACACTGAATGCGTGTCTCCGCCCCCGGGAACTGCAGAAGCAACAACTGCAGCCACAAACAATTGACAGAGACAAACGCCTAACAACTTATTGGAAATATGTTTAACCATTTTGGGCAATTGACATTTGGTGCTGCCGTCGTCGGTCGATACTAGCTCCAGCCTACCTCTATAAGGTCTGTGAGGCTCTCTTTCTCCCATCGACAACGTGACAAAACAATTGTCGTAAATCAGGGGCAACCAGCCGGAGTTTAGCGAGCCAAGTTTTTGGCTAACTGCCCACAATGCAAACTCAAATATTGGTTTTTGTTTACTTTCATTTGGCTCGTGGCCGGCAGTGTTTTTCGCTTAGGTTTTAGTTTTAAGGAGAAGGAGAAGCGAATGTGTTGGTGGAATTCCATTGTTAAAAAGCTTTAAAGGAATTTTCAATTAGCCAAAAAAGTCACAGTTCCTGAATGGGTCAAGAAAATGGGTAATGAAAGTAGTTTTCTGTGGACATTTAACATAAGAAATGGAGAAGTTTTAGTAGAGGTAAAAAAATGGGATTAAGACTTTTAACATAAGAAATGAGGAAGTTTTACTAAAGTTAAATAAAAAGTTTTAATTTATTAGAATTCCCCAATAAATTTTTCTTATGCAATACTCCTGCTCGCACCGATTAACTTCTGTCACGGTCAAAGCTCAATTGAAACCGACACAAATCAGAGCCAAAGGCGGAGACCAAAGCTTGAGACTCTCTTCCGTCTTAGATTTTCCCAACTCAACTCACACACAATTACATAATATGTTGAGCCCAGAGCAGAGCCTTGTTTATAGACAATATTGTTCAGATAAAAATCCCCCTAAATCAAAGAAATACGAAAAAGAAAACCAAAACCGAAATCGAAAAGCGCAGAAAACAAATCTGTGGGCAATTCAGAGAGACGTCGAATTCACTCTCGATTGAAGGTGTTACAAACGTCCGAATGCCAATTATCAACCAGAGGTTCGAGAAGGTTATCTCAAGACCCCTTTCCTCTTCATCGCAGCAATTTTCACTTTCAGCTCAATAAATTTTCGTAACAAAAAGAAAAAAGAGCGAAGAAAACAAGGGAACATTGTTGTCTTGATTTTGAAGGGGAAGTCAATGGTTTGGGGGGATTGAGGGGATTTGAACAGGCGGTGGGGGCAATGAGAATGACTGACGAATTCGGCCTTTTTTTATTTGGTTGAGATCCAAAACTAGTTGCACAATTTCGAAACGCACTAACGGAAGCCGCTGGAGAGGGAAAACTCAAACAAAGCTGAGGAAAAGGGGCAAAAAACTCAAGTCATTGGGGCCAAAGAAAAACAATATAATAAAATGCGTAAAATTGCATTTTTTTTCGTGTTGTTTCTTCATGTTTTGTTACACTTTTACCTGACGCGCGATTATTACATTTTTTTTGAAAGGCAGTTGTCAAAATTTATATCGCTAGTAGGTGCTTAAAAAGTTAAAAAAAATTTAATTAAATAAATATTGCATAAACATTTTGGTGGCTCAACCAATACTTAGACATTGATTTAAAGCATAAGGTTTCTGAATATTCTAGGAAATATAATTTACATATATTTTTTTGTATCATATCAGCAGAGGATAACGACGAAAAGAGGAAAGTTTTAATTTCTTCGTATAATTTGGTCTGTGCGCCTCAATTCCATTAAATGATTTAAGCGCTTTTCCAAACCAACACCCAGCTTTAAACGGACAATTCGTGCAGCAAAGTAGGCAATGTAAATTTAAGCCTCAAAGTATACTTTAAAAATGGATTCATATAAGAACTCCAAACTCACCGAGTGCACTGCTAGATGGCGCTGCAATTCCGCGTTGCCAAACAAAGTCAGCTCTGTGATTGTCGGCGAAGTCTCCAATTTACTCTCCATTTCACGCAACCATCTCCGCAACTCCTTGGGATCCTCACAGAGACCTTCTGGTCGTTGGGTCTCATCAAGCATCTGTATAATTAGTTTAATAGTTAATTTAACGTATATGAACAGCAATTGACAGTCATAACATATTTAGTATTATACAATAAAAAACTGAACAACAGATGTCGCCTCGCACTCACCTTAAAACTGCATTCGCTGGACTTTTCCAAGACTGTTGTAGCGCCCTCTATCTCACAGCGCGCCTCTTTGCATGTGTCCAAAAGGTTCGTGTCCATAATGTAGTTGTAGTTCGTTTGAATGGCCGCCCAAAGGTCGTCTTTCCCTGAGGAGCCCAGGCCCAAGGTGGCGCTGCTGTGTAGACTGGTGGAACTACACTGACTGTTTCCGCTTCCCCACGAATAACGGTGCAATTTATTGCTATACGAATTTTTCTGAAATTTAAAAACAAAATTTATAAATTTTAGCAAAAAATTAAAGGGTTTTTTTTTTGCAGCTTGTGTGTTATGTTGAATAACATGTCAAGTTTACGTAAAATCCATGTAGATATTTTATGAAGCTTACAAAAATTATTATTTTTTTTTTTTAAGCTGGACAAACTTTGAAAACGGAACGGCTATTACAAAACTACATTATAAACTGCTCTGAAAAATTTAAATCTTATAAAATTTTTATTGAAAAAATGTATATTGCAAATAAACAGATTTTAGGTCTTTTATCAAATTAAGCAATACTTATTTCATTAAGATGCCAAAAATTTTTTTTTTTAATTTATGGATAAATATAGTTATATTATATATTAAATTATTGATTTGTTTTAAAGACCCAAACAAACTACTGAGTAAAACAACAATACCCTCTGCGAGCGAATACACAAATAAATGTTGACAAATGTTGATTGATTTAAAGCACCTCAAATTAAAGCCGCTGAAGTGGCAAAGACCAAACAGAAACAAAAAAAAATTATGGAAAACGGGAAGGGGGAAACCGCTAAAACTTGTTAATAAATAAGTAATTTGAGGCGTGCCAAATACGGCCGAAACAATATGCTTTGGCCATCTTGGGAGCTGGCGATTCAGATTCCCGGCTCTAGGCCGCTCTGAAAACTGGTTTTCGTTGACTTCAAATTGCAAAGCGCGCGCAATTAATTAATGCATTTTGCTCATTTGCCCAAGAAAGTCTCCGATTCAGTCAGAAATCGTGGAAGGAAATTCCTTATTTACACAATCGTAATGCAATCGTAATCCCAAAAGCAAACGAAATTGAAAATCGTAAATGAAATATTGTGAGATATTGACGGAATGACTGGTTGCTGTTTCGTCTGATTTGAGTAATTGATTAAATGAATGAGCAGCAGCAGCAGCAGTAGCAGTAAGGTAGAAAACGGGGTGTGGGGCGGGATTTAACGCTGAGTGACTCGCATTTCAAGCAAAAACTCGCCTACAGTGACTAAGAAAAGTTTGCCGCCAAATAAGCTGTGAAATATGCAAGCTGTGACACATGGAGGCCTTGAAATAATATCTCTGTGGTCTTGGTCTTGTAAAATTGAACAGATTTTTATCGAAGAATAAAGTTCATGTATCTCGAAAACTATGAGAACTGGGGCAAAACTATTTGGTATGCAGATCTCGTGTTGGGCCCACGCTGATAAGATTTATTTAAAAGATTTTGACACACCTCCTACCGTTATTAAAATTTGAAAAAATATTTACTGTTTTTGAACACTTACATTAAAAACGATTACAAAAAAAAAAACTAAATCACCACATATGTAATCTGATTTTATCGATATTGTGATTTTATGTAAACATGTATGCAAACAGTAATATTCTAAATTACAAGCATAAAACCAGACTTGTGTGATCTAGCATTCATTTTCAATGCACATTCCTGACAATTTACAGCTTGCGTAAAAGAAGAATATATGCCTGTTTTACTTTCCAGTTTAAAGCATAAATTAGCAATTTGTGTACATGGCCAGTGGCGCCAACTTAGTTGCACATTTAACCGTTGCAACTCGGTTGCATAAAGGCATGGTAATCGGGAAAATTATTAATAATTTATTAAAGCAATTTCCGTTGACACAGACACACACTAAGACACACCATTAGGGGACCAAGAAATTCTAACGGCCGCTTGTCATTTTAGAGACCAAACTCGTTAGCGTGTGGAACGAAGGCTAAAAGTACAACAGGAACAAAAGATGGAGGAGTTTTTTTTTACTAAAGTAAATCCAAAATTGTAAATACCCTAGCTAAAAAAATGTACCAGTAGACTTCAGTAATTGGTGACCCCAAACTCGGAGAAAGGTCAAGCAAGACTTCATTTTATATTCCTAATATTCCTTAAATTATATTGAACTATGCCAAAAAATGTTGGTAATATCGGTTACTATTCTAGTGTTTCCTAAGAAAGGGTATTAACCTTAACTGGCATATGATCAATTGCAAATTTATGCGCACACACGAGGTATGTGTATGTAGCTACAATATTACCTGACGAATACCTGTTGTACCTCCTCTCTTCTCCCACGAAAATCCATGGCCATTTTTGGGATCACTCACCTTGAGGCTGTTGTAGGGCCGTTCCAAATGGAGCTTGGCCTGGATGACGTCACGACGCTCCTGCTGCTCCTCATTCGAGGCCTGCAGTGACGTCATGGACTGCGACTGCTTCATCAAGTCGTTTCCAACACTATTAGTGCCAGTGTTGCTCTTGGGAACTCCATTCTCCGTTCCCATTACGTTCAAATTAGCTTTTCCTCTCGATCCACGTCGCTGCTTTTTGAGGGAACTGCTGCGGCTACTGCTGGCCGATTTAGTAATTAACCCCATCTTATTTGGGGGCGTGGCTGGTATGGCGAATAAGCCATCCAATTTTATGGAATTCGTTGTGTTTTCTTCATATCGATTTCGGGTGGTGGTTGCTTCGTTTGGGGACTCCGATTCCCTTGCCGATCCTGCGTTTCCACCCTTTTTCATGGCCGCTTTTTCAGTCTCTTGGTTGCTTATAATCGCTCCTGCTTCTTTCTCTGATTTTGGGGTTCCCCCTTCTCTCCCAGTTTCGTTTTCCTGTTGCACTTCCATTGTTCTCCAACTTTATTTGGCTTTGTTTTCCATGTGTGCATGTGGGGGATATACGAATTATTTATTTAGAGAGCGAATTATGTTAATCAAACCCCTCAAAAGTCACCCGAAATTTGCATGTCTGCCAGGCTTCCTCTCATTTCCATTGTTTCCCGTTCCGTTGCCGGCGTTCCGCTCTCTGGCATTGACCTTCAGGGCGTCCCTTTCGATTTCCGTTCGTTTTTATGCAAAATACTTGTTTCGTTATTTTGATAAAATGCCTGTTTTTACGTATCTAAATTAATTCCACTGAAACGAAACAAGAAAGCAGGGAAATTTGCACATTAGTCAAAAGGAAATCGAACAAATTAGGACGAAAAATAGGTGGGCCGATATAAAATGATGATTATGATGAGCGAGGGGCCACGTCATGGGGCAGCATAATTAGCAGAGCTGCAGTTATTCGTTTCTCATTTTCCTTCTACTAATGATGGGTATTATTACTATAGGCAAGCCATTAAAAGATGAAAGCGAATTGGCATGGGATCGTCTATGATATGGATTCATTTCCTACAAGCATTTCATTGGCCCATTTTCTGCATTAGGCGGATCTCATGGTCTGCTAGCATGTGCATTTATTATGTGGATAATTTAACTGATCAGTGATTTTATTTTAATAGAGGTAGTAAAATTTACAATATACATTTTGAAATAACAACCTATTCCAACTATCTTAAAATATAGATTTAGTTGATCTTATCCCTGGAAAAACTTTTTTTCGACTTAAATCCGCAGTTAATATTATTATTATTGCTATTACCAGACTTCCTAATGTATTTTTTCAAGAAACGTATCTTCTTTTCTGGTTAAAACAACTTTGCGACTTATCAGATGTTGCACCACATTTTCGGTGATGAAAGAAGCCTCTATCTCAACCTCTGTGACCCCTCCATTCTCCTCCAACATTAACATAATTAAGTCTCGTAGAACTTCAAATGAGTGCTGTGGCCCTATCACAGCCTTATATCTCATATCGCATATCACACCCACTGCAGAGTAAACAAAACGAAACTGTAAACGGCAATTAAAAGCAACTGTAACCCGCAGACAGCTAACTACATAATAGCAGCGGGAAGGGGTCGGTGGGAACCGGGGGAAATTATAGTAATTACGTATGCAAAATATTACTTAATTTCAGAGCTTTGGCCAGCGACTCCCGGACAGCAGGGAAATATAAACAATGAACACGATTCTAATCGCGGCACAATCAAATTTTCATACGAAATTAGTCGCGAAAAACACTTGTGGGCCATATTCGTATGCAAATTTCTGGCCAAAAGGCGGTGGAGTTGTCCAATTCCAAAATTGGCCTGCAAGCGTTCATTTAGCCACTTGAGCGCCAGATCCGAACGACACTGCACATAGTGGGGAAAAATGAATAATAAAATTGGCAACTGGAAGTGGGTGGAGGTGGAAATGATTGAGGGAGAGGGCGTGGCCCCAAAAAAAATACAAATCAATGCTAAGAGCCGTACAAAAAAGTTGTTCAGGTCTTTGGGCAACAAAAATCGTTACAAAACAAACCGCAAACAGAGCATTAACCCATTAATGACAGGGCTGTTAATAGCCTACGATTGAAGAGATTGATTTTCAATATAAATAATCCATTAAATAATAAAAAGCACCAACATTAAAATTTTAATACGACTTCCCATAACATGTTTACTTTAAAATCTCTTTTACTTGATATAAATTACTTACCTACTTTATTAACCGTTACCGTAACAAAAAAAACCAATAAAAATTTAACGATTTTTTTTTTTCCAAAACACACATAAATTAAAGTTTTTCCGCTTTTTTATTTGTGCATGGATGCATATGTAACCCATATAATTTTTAGTTAATCTCATATTTAACTTTTACATCTCCCACTTCGAAGAACTATATTTTCGCAAATTATGTTTATGACTTTGTGCAAGAGTCTCAGGCATATTAATTACACAATTAAGTAATGATTGCGGGAAGGACTTTAACTCTTTTATGTGCTGACCATTAAATCCAATGTTAGCTTTATGACTCATGGAACCAAGGAATCGCTGCCGTCTGACAGTTTCCCCTTTTATGCAAATTTCCACTCGGTTCGCATGCAAAATGGGGATTCGCATTCGCCAGTGACTAGACTAACAACCGAAAGACTGTTGAAAAGGCGTTGAAAAAGTACAAGAAAATACTGGGAGTCCTCCCCTTCCCGACCAATTCATTTGGGAAATGGCGAATTTCCAGTTTGTTTGAGTTTCAGGTTTATAGGTTTGTCGTTTCACTCCCGCAAGGAAATTGGAAAAATTAAGAGGCTTTACTAAGTTATTTAATATGTTAGGATTTGGGTTTAAAAATCCTCAGAATTTCGATTAAACAGCATGATCATAATTTTCAATGCCCAATCAGTGGCTCTTTCAAGTTTGAATGGGGCATTTATAATCTTTCAATATTATACAATAAAACCCAGATAAAGAGTCCACAAAATATGCAAATTAATTTCCATCATTATGCATTACCCAAATATTTAACACTTTTAGATAATAACTCACTAGGCTTTGGTCAGTTTTCTTTCGAATCTTTTCTTGCATTTATTTTTTCCACCTGTTGAACTCTTGCATAATACACCTGTAAACATTCGGTAATAGCACCAAAGTTCCAAAGAAAACCAATTTTCAAGCGAAACCAAAGTAAAAACCCCGACCAAAACATGTGGAACATAAAGTTTTAGCCACAAAGCCCACCTCGAAGACCCAAGAGATCGGAGACCCCAGAGCAAAAGAAGAAGCCAAAGCAAAGGCCATTAATAAGCACAAAGTAGAGACAAATACTAAGTTTATGCTATGAACTTCATGTTTTCTTGAATACATGAAATCAAAATAACCCTGCGATAAAGACCAATTCATAAAATAGTATAAGCAGAGATCCCAGAAATAAAATAAAGACCAAACTTTATTCACATATTATTATATATATAGATGGTTATAAGATGGTTGCCCCATTTCACGCTTTTAATTTAAGTTCATATCTAACTTTCGTGCGTAAGTGAATAAATGACATGATTGCATGAATTGGTCATCGCATAAACATAGTAAGCGAAGGGACAGCCAAAGAGAGGGCTAAAAATATACAAATATTTGCGTATAAATAAGCCAACGAAACCAAATTAAAGTCAACAAACATGTGTGGATTGTGGGGAGTGCGATCTTCAAGATCGCAGGTTCCTCCACATTGTCTATGCCAGACACGAAGTTTTGCTTTCGAGAAGCTCGTAAATCTGACTGAGCTCATTGTTCATCGTTATAAAATGCCGGGAATGATGACAATAGAATCTATTTCAGCAGACGTCACAGACGCTAGTTTTGGGTAAGCAAAACTTTCAATTTTCATTGGCGTCTGTTCATAAATCTTAAAACTTTGTGTTTATCTTTTTGCCTAAATGTGGTTGGAATTGAAAATCAAGGCCTTTGGGCGCTAAATGCTTACTGATTCATGATAGCGCATGAGTGACTCTCCCTTGAAAAAGCAATACAAACGTACTACTTATAATGATTAAATCGTGTAAGTATTTGCTTTCAATTGAATCCCTTCTCAAACACATTAAAAACGCACTTAAGCTTTAATTTCCTTCTTATTTTTGATTTCCCTCTTAGAGTTCTTTGAAAACGAAAACAAAACTTTCATTGTTCTGATTCGCACCAAAACCTTTTCCATTTCATTTTGTTTCATTTCTCTTTACTTTGATCTTTTCTCACTTCCGTTCTCTACTTTATTTACTCTACTTTTTTTCATCCCAAAAGAGAAGAAAAACCGGATGTAAACTCACTAAATTGTAGATTATTCTCACGCTGGAAAAGTCTGTGACCAATTAAAGCAAATCAAGTACAAACAATTGGTAGACCAATTATTTTGTTTACCCAGTTTCTTTCGATGAACTTTATTCGTTCCCAGAGATTAGATAGAGTTGATAAGGTAATTGAGCGACACTCGAGTGGCCCGAAATTTAATCAATTATATAGAATATTGCATTATATGGGGCCTTTGCCAAGATAAGACTTTTAGTTGGCCACAATAAGTCTTCGAAGTTTGCTTTGTTGGCCATAATTTAGTCATCAGCTGGCTTTTAGGTGTGAAGTCATGAGTAAGAATAAGCTGCGATAAGATCGTTTATAGAGGTGGAATTTTCGTATATCATGATTTTATTTACCAGAAAGTATAGCAAAAATATAGGTAATAGTAGTTTCTTTGTTAAAAGCAACAAGAACAAAATTGTGAAATTGGAAAATATAGATATTTTAATAACAGTCCCTCAGAACTACCATCTCTAATAGCCAAGTTAAGGCCAGACACTTGGTCGACCCCAGAAACGGACAATCAGATAGACCCAGACCGAGACAATCGACATTCCACAGACCAAAGCGTAATTAAAATATTGTTTATATTGCACAGCAGCCGTCGCGGCTATATTTTATATGAACCAGCAGCCAACCAACTTCTCGGCAAATTCTTCCAAGAATCGCGTTGGCAGGCCAGCGTTTGCCACACATTTGGCCATTCAAGCCGAGTTGACCAGGCTAAAAGCCATGATTGGAGGAGACCCCAAAGGCAGACAACATGCCATAAATTGACAATTGCCAAAGACAGTGCTGCAGCGACAACAACAGCAACACAACTGCAGCAGCAGCAGCAACAGCAACAGCTGCTGTTGCAGCAGCAACACCTAATGAATTGTTAATCGTGCAGCGAAGAAAAAAATGGGGAAGTACGGCGTTGAAAGGAGAGGTGAGACGGCGTCACTTTTGGCACACGTGAATGTTGGCCAAGTGACCAAATCGCTGGCAATCTGGCGACAATAACAATACCCATATTGACTTGTAAACCAACATCAGCAGCAACAGCAGCAGCAACAGCAGCAGCAACAGCAACAAAAGCGAAACCTTTTCGGTGGCAAAAGGGGGTTAAGGCACCCGGGGCAACCACAATTGCAACCGCAAAAACACAGAAAACAATCACAATATGTGGTCCAGTGCAACCTAGTTTAAATTAAGGGGGCTTGGGTTTTTTGTGGGCACCCAAGACAATGAATTGTTTAATTTGTTGTGGTCGTGTCTTGCTTTGACAAACTTTTATCGGCCCGAACATGAGATATAGCGATGGAGAGAGGCAGATAACTGGCATTTTAGAGCGATACATGATCTAGATTTTAAAGGGTTTTCCTTTGGGACCTTAATTGATACATAGTTTTAAAACAACATTATCCATAAAGTTTTATATACGTTTATCAAGCATTTTTTCTGAAATCACTCTTTTGAATGTGATTTTATTAGGTCCCCATTAACAATATTTAATCTTCACAGTCTTTGTATTTTTTCATACCTTCTTCTACCTCCTTTATTTAGTCATTTCAACATTCAGAATTCATAGTTTCTCAACATCTTTTCCAGTTTCTCAATCTTGATTATTTAGAATTCACAGTTTCTTAACTAGTCTTTTAAACTTCTTTATTTGTTTCCTAAGCCTTATTTTTTGTTCTTAGTTATTCTTCTAATTCTAAGCTCCTGACTTAGGTTTTATTAACTTTTTAATACAGCTTAATATCATTGTTAAGAAAATTAAATATAAGTAATGACCCATTATCGCTTTGTGGCCAGACTATCAAACATTTGTTTCTTGATCTATACAATTTGAGGTATTAAGTTCTGCATTGTGCTTTCTGAAGTATAGCGTTCTGATTTTATTATAATCGAAGCTCCCGTATCTCCCCCTGTTCCAGGGTATCCATGCAATCACTTGGGAAACATTTGTCTGAGTGTCACACTGAAAATGAAAACATTGCGAATTCCTTCGCCTTTGCAATGAACCCGCCAAAAGTCAAAAGTGCCTCCTCCACACATGCCATGCAATGCAATGGAGGGGGATAAAAATAAATACAATAAATACAAATAAAAAGCAACTGCAAGTACTGTGCGACAGATGGCGACTTGGAACATGGCCACGGAATGAAGGCAGTGAACAGAGGACCAACAGACCCAGGCCGAAACAAAAGGAAACTCTTTTTGCTGGTTAAATTTCTTTTGATTTTCGGTGCAAAAGCAATTAGAGAAGTGGTTCACCAATGGACAGGAAAAAAATAAAGGCGACCAACAAAAAAAAAAACTAACTTTCGTTTTTTTTATGTCTCGAAAAGTGGGGACAAATTTTGGGTAACATGCAAACATTGTATCGCCACCTCCCAGACACAGCGCCACCAAACACCCGCTCTCCTGATCTGCCACCAATTTTATTACAGTCAAACTACTTTAAATTACTTTTATATATATTTTATCGAGTATTTATCAAACTTCAAAAACCAGCTGTTTTCAATAAATTTGTAATATTTCAAAAATATTTTTAGCAAATCCCCACTATTAAGCTTAATTTACTTTATAGCTATTTACTACAAAAATGTATTTGATTTTCACAAAATATCTCTTCGCGAAGTTAAGCTGTATTTATTTTTCGCTTTTAAATTTGTCGCTAACAAAATTTGTCTACAACTTATAAACATTTTTGGCTCCAATCCACTCACTCCCCCAGCCTTTTTCGACCGGCCCACTTTTCCCCGTTTTTCGCCCCTCCACTTGTCTACATTCCTGAGTATATGATAAATGTTTCGTGTTTTGTCTGTTTTTGCGGTTTGAACACGTTTTCCTCGTGTTCTGCGATCGTTTTTTGGGGTCCCCACCGCATTACACATGACACATAGAAAAGCTATCAAAGCTCAAACCAAAAAAAAAAAGATTTAAGAAAAACTAGTCCCGATTTTGCCACGCCTCTTAGTAGGGAAGTCGTTTGTTATGACTACTGACCCACCAAATGAACAGGCGTTAACTCTTTCGACAGGTGACAGGTGGCGATGCTGTAAATAACACCAGGCACACCCACTGATATGCTAGCAAATTAGTGGGTTAAGTGGTGCAGCAAAGCCGAAGACATAAATTTGGGTAAGCACTTCAAAGTGGTTCAAAAAAGCTAATTAGTTAGGTATGAGTAAATCTATTTACACTTTGGTGGAAAAAAAAAACGCAGTATGTCAAAGTAATTCATACCTGTACCAAGTCTTTGGAAATGGAAATATTATATATTTTTTTTTGTTTTTTATTTGATTATTTTTGAAATTAACAACAACATCTAAAGGTTTAATTAAAGATCAAACCATAATAAACTTCAATATAACTCATTTTAAACAAAAATCATTGTCATTATACATTTAATTTGAATATGATATTTTAAATTGTTAAACAAATAGCTAGATCTTAATTTTAACTATCAATATTTAGTTAAATCTTAAATTCATTGATTTTAAAGGACAAGAGAATCTTTTTCTAGCGTACTAGCAATGTGATCATGACCTTGAAGTTGGCCTACTTCTAATTGGTTATGATTTCCACTATTTAACACGCTTTTCTTCAATTGAAAGCTCGAGACCAGACTCCAATGCATGCAACGTCACTCAATGAACTCTCTTAATTAACCCATTACGCTACTCAAAATCTCACATGACAGCAACAGATTGAGAGATATGGATGGAAGCTGCAAATAAACCCATCTGCATTGAGCAGCAAAAGCCATGGCAAAGTTAATTAACCGACAATTACTCACATAATCGAGTGTGAAAAGCGCGCAAATTGTGCGAAAGTCGAAATTCATTGAACATTCAGTGAGCTTGCGGCGTACACATCCAATCCATTCGATGCCATTCAATTCACTTTTGGCTAAAACGAGATAAAAGAGAGGCAAAGGCAGAGATAAATAAATGCGTGTTAAAACAAATAAGCAAAATGATGTGAAAATGCTTTGAACGGAGCGGAAAAGGAGTTTGACTAATGACAGCAACAACAACAGTGCATGGCCAAATGGAAATTGGGGAAATTGTTCACCAATGTTTTGGTATTAGCACTTGGCACAGACAAAGATATACGCTCGAAATTGCATAATGGAAAGCCAAGTCAACCGCAGAAACCGAGGCATAAGCCATCAACTTTTACCCGGCAACATTTGCTTAGCAACATTTTGGATACCCTGGCAGGGGGTATCATAAATTTGATGGCAAACCCCAAATCAATTTCCTACTCCATATAGTTTTTATGCATATTTATTAGAAAATCAATGAATAAAGCCGCCAAAACGTTATTGTTTTATATTGAGATTTATCCGTTATTTTGTATATCAGATATTTTTATGTCATTAGACTGTATGCTGTTTTAATTATATTTCGATTAGTATTTTTATACCCTTGCAGAGGGTATTATAATTTCAGTCAGAAGTTTGCAACGCAGTGAAGGAGACATCTCCGACCCTATAAAGTATATATATTCTTGATCAGCATCACTAGGCGAGTCGATCTAGCCATGTCCGTCTGTCCGTCCGTCTGTCCGTCTGTCCGTCCGTTTATATGCAAACTAGTCTCTCAGTTTTAAAGCTATCTGCATGAAACTTTCCCAAAAGCTGTCTTTCTATTGCAGGTAGTATATAAGTCGGAACGAGCCGGATCGGACGACTATAGCATATAGCTCCCATAGGAACAATCGGAAAAATAAATGAAAAAAAATTATAACTTTGCTGTTTTTTATTTTTTGTTTAGTTCTTCGACATTTAGTAATGGTTAAATATTTCCGATTTACGGTTTAAATTTCATCAAAATCGGACGACTATAGCATATAGCTCCCATAGGAACAATCGGAAAAATAAATGAAAAAAAATTATAACTTTGCTGTTTTTTAATTCTTCGTTTAGTTCTTCGACATTTAGTAATGGTTAAATATTTCCGATTTACGTTTTAAATTTCATCAAAATCGGACGACTATAGCATATAGCTCCCATAGGAACAATCGGAAAAATAAATGAAAAAAAATTATTACTTTTCTGTTTTTTAATTTTTTGTTTAGTTCTTCGACATTTAGTAATGGTTAAATATTTTCGATTTACGGTTTAAATTTCATCAAAGTCGGACGACTATATCATATAGGTCCCATAGGAACAATCGGAGAAATAAATGAAAAAAAATTATAACTTTTCTGTTTTTTAATTTTTTGTTTAGTTCTTCGACATATGGAAATGTTTAATTATTTCAGAATTATGGTTTAAATTTTATCAAAATCGGACGTCTATATCATATAGCTCCCATAGAACTAATAAAAATATATAAAATAACTATCTAATAATTGAGCTGCAAATCATCATAGCTTCACTGTTTTTCAGTAAATACTCAAGTAAATCATAATTTAAATGTTTTCAAAAGTATTTAATTCATGCAATAGCTGCAAGGGTATATGATCTTCGGCTTGCCGAAGTTTGCTTTCTTTCTTGTTGGTTCATATATCAACCTGCCTTTGAGATTTTTATTCTATTTGGTATAAGTTCTTTATGTAAATGTCATATGAACCAATTGGTAAACTTTTGTGATTTCAATTATTTTTGTTATAAATACTTCTGTTAATGTCAGGTAAGGTGGCATGTTCAAGGTATTCTGTTCTTATGTCATTCACTTTCTATACTTTACCTAAGCAGTGTGTATTTTTTAATAAATTATCTTGATATTCAGTGATATTCAAGGGTATATTTCACTTCGAGTTCCGAGGATTCCTGTTTACTTCCTTGGCCTTTTTTATGGCAACCTTTCGCTAGGCACCGCCGCAACCTCGGAGCTATCTCCAGTGATAAATCAGCTGCACCGCCGAAAACCCCCGAGAAAACAGTCAAATACTCGCCAACAAAACTCCCACAAACTTCGACTATTGCACGACATTTTTTTGGTGCAGTTTTGACCGAGGGCGTCTCGCATAACAATTCATTATCATTAATTATATTTGCACTCAAATTGCACAAACGGAAAACGAGAGGGAAACCCAAAAATCGCCGACGACGAGCTGGGCATAAAAAATTGAACAATGTCGATTAAATTGAAAACAATTTTACGCTGCAAAATTTCAATATTTCCCGTCATTTGCCGTTAGGCTCAACGTTAAAACAGCATTCCCGACCCAAAACTAAAAAAACAAAACACTATCAAAACTCTAGAGTGGAAAAGAGAGGCAAAATATGGCTCATAAAGCATCGAACATCAACAACAAAAATCGGCAACAACAATTTATTGGTCGCATTAACCTCAGCGAACTCTCTCACTTTTCTGGACCTCCCCGGGGGGTGGTGGGTGGTTGGGAGGTGCGGGGGGCCAGTCAATCGATGCGAGTTGTGAAAATATCATTTACAGGCAATTTGTAAAAAAGCAACAACAGCAGCAGTAAAATAACTGCAAGCTCAGTGAAATTTGCACGAACAAAAAAAAAAAGGAAAAAAAAAAACAAAAAACAAAAAATCAAAAACAAATGAACGGCGATTTACTTTAACAAACAACCAAAAACAAAAAAGGGGGCAAGTAAAGGGGGGCAGCAGGGTATCTGTGGTCAAGTTGTTAAAGTCGGAAATGGGCACAAACGCCGATCGTCAGCGGCCGACAACAGCAACAACGACGACGATAACGTCTCCAGGCGATAATTGGATCCCTTTCCCAGTCGCTCATAGAGTTAAGAGTGTAAAAGGGGTTTTGGATGAAAATACTCACAGCTAAGGTGGAAATTCAATATACCTTTTTTTTGGTTGAGTGGGAAATTTTCTTGTTGGACTCTAAAAGATTTTGACACATGCCAGAGGTGATGAATACTAACAAAGAACTGTTTAAAAGTACATGGTAAGAAATATAAGAGCTATAAAGAATACAAACTAAATTAATGCATCAAATATGGGTCCTAAGCAAAGCAACATATTTCTCAATATTTACCAAAAACTCTAATAGAAACAATATTAAAATTGTATTTATTAAATTAATTGCATGTCTATAGCTAAAGCTTCAACTACACTCCTTTATATGTAGATGGTAAAATATACACAATAAGAATTAAATATAAATTAATTCGTCAAATATGAGTTGTACTAGCAGAGTTCATCATATATACCTAAAATCCTTTTAAAAACATTATTAAAATTTGAGTTATTCAATTCATTAAATGTCTACCTAAAGCTTCAACTGTACTCCCTTATAGCCCATCCATTTAGTTTTATATAAATTCCTTCAAGTAATTCTAGTACCCTTTATTTAAAGCACCCAATACCTAAAACATTCTCCACTTATCCAACGGTCTCATAACTCTTTTGTTTGCATTGCTTTTTTTTTTGCCGCCAAAATGAAATTCAAGACAAAAGTGCAAAAAGCAGATGCGGAACAAACTGAAATTCTGTCAGGTGAGACGCAAATGCAACATTTTCGGCTGCCTTTTCAAAAACAAAAGAAAGAAAATGAAAATAAAACCTGAGATCAAGAGCTTTCACAGAACTCTCGCCCGAACAAAGAAAAACAGAGACATTAATTCGAATACTTCGTGAGAAAAAGAACAAACTTGAAAAAAAGAGATTTAAACCGAAACCCACATGAGTTCATTAACGAAACTCAAACGAAAGTGAAAGAGGAAGAGTGGCAGGCGGCAGAGAGAAATGCATTCGAAATGCAATAGAAAGTGAAATGCGTTGGAAAAACAAAACCGTCGTCGGCTACGGAAAATCTCTTCCAAATGAGCCGCAAGATGCTGGCGATATGTGTTATGGACAGACCCAAGCCCCTCCCTCTTTACTATTACCCCCCTATGCCAACTCCCATGACCTTGTTCGCAAATTCTGTTGACGTACATCGAACATGGGTGCCACCAAACTATCCACATCGACATTCGCATCCACCAAACAAGACACCATCCTTGGCGCTTTTCCAGCCGATTGCCATCAAGAAATATTTGAGATTCACTTTCGGAGCCGGCAAAGGCAGTAGAAATGCACCGAAAGGCAGTAAAAACAATGCCTGGTAGCCGCGCATTGACAACTCATAGATAAAATGCTTTTCTTTAACTATGACGCGACTTCCAACTGCGACGGCCTCTTCTCAATGGCTGCAAAACAATGACAAACTCTGCTTCTGCAACTGGAAAGTGGAAACACACGACGAAAGCCACCAAACACACTCGAAAAAAGATGAGTGCACATTTTTCTATGCTCTACATTTCATAACTTATTCCCACATCAATACACATACAATGATAAAGAAATAAAAGCTATTATTTTAAATTTTTTAAGACAAAGGCCAAACACAAAAGCAGAAACTGATAAAGCAGAGTGAAAAAATTACTCATTTCGAATAAATATACATTTTAAAGCAGCTTTAATTGAAGAAAAAACTATCAGTTCTGATTTTTCCAGCTTGAATTATTTAGTTACATAAAAGACTTGATAATTACTATTTTACCAGTTCTTGATTACGTTTTTAACGCGAATTCTTTAGACTCTGAAATAAATAGGGGCACAGCGAGTGAGAATATATACATACTTGGTTGATAAGCCGATTCCAAAATTCGCAACACCCTCCAGTGAGTGCATGAGAAAATTGTCGTCAACTTGTTGGGGATGTGTGGGCTGGCATTCGGCACTTGGCGCTCAGTATGCGAGGCACCAAAGACTCGACTGAAATGCCATAGATTCGATTTTGATAAAATGCCAAGCAACAAGTTGGGAGCGAAAGAAAGAAAAAGTGAGAATCGGGGGGAAAGATGCGGGGCTAATAAGGGGAAAGGAGATGGCGCAGGCGCGAAACGCCAGGCGATAAATCTTCCAAACTTACTTTTGCCATTGCAGTCGCAGAAAATGAACAGAGGAAACGAGAGTAAGCAGGCGA